AGGCTGATCTCAGCTTGAATAACCAACCCACTCTCAAGAACTACCTTCTGAGGGCAAGTCCCCAGTGACCTAAAGACCTCCTACCAAACCCACATCTCAGATACCGTTAGTTCGATCAGCACCCACATGGGGGACCCAAAGGAAGCTCCTGGCTTCAAATCAGCTCATCTCCGGCCATTGTGGCCATTTGGGGAGTGAACCAGAGGATGGAAGGTATTTCTCTCTGTCTCGACCTCTCTCTGTAACTCTGCCTCTCAAATAAATAAATAAATCTTTAAAATAAAAAAAAAAAGTCTCCCCTCTTAATCTAAACACCCATAACAATGAAACTGAGTTTAAACACCTGCATGAGTTTGGGGAACCAAGTTCTATTCCATATGTAACACATACTCTCTGAAAATACAGACAGATACATGTATCTGTGCAGACATAGATTTAGTTGCTATAATAAGAGATCCCAAAATACATTGCACTAAATAAGACTGAAGTTTATTTCTCTGTGTGTGTCTGCCCTTATGTAATTGAAATAACCACAAGGATTCTACATTTTGGTAAAAGAAGATTCTTTCTGTATTTGCCAATTCCCAGTGAATGGGAAGAGAGGAAAGGAAAGAGGCAGAGCACATGACATCTGCTAACACTCTACATCTTAGCCACATGTGTATGATCAGCTGCAAGGAAGGCTGGGAAATAGAATTTCCTTTTGAGCAGTAATGTGTGCAACTGAAAACCAAAGATTTATCTTACTAATTACAAAGAAGAGAGAGAGGAGCCTGTAGACAATGTACATCCATATAATCCAGAATCCAAATATACTGGGGTTATAAAAAGACTATATTGTTCAAAATTTTGATAATATTTATTCTTATCAGGTGTTTTTGAAACTGGAATTTTGAAATTAGTATTCACTTTATTAAAAAGATATTTCATGATATACTATCACATAGTTTTATCTATCAATCAGCACTTATATGGCTTTTCCCAGAATGCAATAGTTCAACAGAACAAGGTCTAGACAGATACTTTGGTTGTCAGTGTTATTCCTTTATTAATTGAGTTAGTTCCAGAAGATTACTCATGAACTACTTTGAGAATTTAATGAAAACCATGGATTCTGTAACCATATACCCATATGTTAATAATTTTGCAACAAATTTCAGGGAGTATAAGGATAGCTCCCCGCCCCCCACCCCAAAGCTCAATTTTAGAGTGTCTCTGCTGTGGGACTCTAATTCTTTTTTTTTTTAGATTTATTTTATTTATTTGAAAGACAGAGTTACATACAGAGAGAGGTAGAGACAGAGAGAGAGAGGTCTTCCATCCACTGGTTCACTCCTCAAGTGGCCATAACGGCCAATCCAAAGCCAGGAGCCAGGAATCTCTTCCAGATCTCCCACATGAATGCAGGGGCCCAAGGACTTGGGCCATCTTCTACTGCTTTCCCAGGCCATAGCAGAGAGCTGGATCAGAAGAGTAGCAGCCAGGACTAGCACCAGCGCCCATATTGAATGCCAGCACTTCAGGCCAGGGCTTTAACCCGCTGTGCCACAGCGCCAGCCCCAGGACTCTCATTCTAGCGCTTGGGTTCATGTTCTATGACCAAGAAGAAGGAGGGCAATGGACAATGGAGAGTTCACAAGAAAAAAGGTTCTTTAAGCAAAAAAAAGCAAAAGAGAAAATTCCCAGCAGCGCCAAGAAGGGCGTCAGAAGTGAGGGCCTATATGGGGAAGCTGCCCGGGGGTTAGATCCTCTGGGCTGTGAGAAAGTTTGTACAGGTTTTGCAAACATATCAGTTGGTCATTGATGACCTTCTCATTGTTGGACAGTCGGCATCTGGAGCCAGACAGGGTCAACTATAACTGCATCTTGTTTTGTTTTCAGTTTCTTCATCTTGTGTTTGAGTAGTGAGTCGTTTGTTCTAGATTGTCCTTTTGTACGTTAGGCTTTTATTTTCCTCTGTACATCAGACTTGAGTCACTTGAGCCCTTTGTCCCTGGTTACCTACCTCAGATCTCAGCTGTCTCCAGTCTCTATTACCTTGTCTCTAAATGAGAAGAAATATGAATATAAAAATTTCACAGCACCCTGGGAAAGCATCAATAAAATCATTCATCTCTGCCTCTGGGAGTCATCAACAGAATTCCTGGAGCCCTGGCCCAAGTTGGGATACCCAGTACAGGATCTGGAGTGTAGTGATAATGTAACTCATGCAAGTTCCCTTGTATCTCAAGGCTCCTCTATTCCTTGTGAGAACCTTGTGTTTTCTGCACTCCTCTGGGTATGAGCATTGCTTCTCCCATCTTCATCACATGGTTCACACTCACAATCATGGGAATTTTTTTTTAAGAGAAAGAGTTTATTGGGGGAAACCCAACAGACTGGAAGGAAGGGGTGAAGAAAGAGAGCGTGAGAGAGAGACAGAGACAGAGGGGGAGAGAGATCAGGAGATGAAGAGAAAGAGAGAGAAAGACATGTGTTCAGAAACAGGTCCTTTTAAAACTTTGCCGGAGGGTGGGCAGGGAAGTAGGAGCAACAAATCCCATTAGGATGGGGGTGGAGCTTGACACCAGTGGTTGAGCCATGCAGCCACCTGGCTTCCAGCAATGGCAGCAAGGGCTAGAGCCTAGGATTGTGTCAGGGTGTAGATCGCGCCATAGATAAGACTGTGCCATCTTCCACTGCTTTCCCAGTCCACATCAGGGAACTGGATTGGAAGAGGAGCAGCCGGGACTCTAACCAGCACCCATATGGATGCTGGCACTGCAGGTGGTGGCTTTACCCACTATATCACAATACCAGCATTTATATTTATTTGAGAGTTACAAGAAGGTATCCAGCTCACCCAGAGCAGAGGGCATCCGGTTTCCAGAGCTCAGCTCCAACCATAATGTTCTCCATGGAGCACCGCCGCATGCAAGCTTACTAGCATGGGGCTAAGAGAAGCTTGCATGCGGCGGTGCTCCCTCTCTTCCCATGCATGCTCATAGGCAGCCTTCCATTCTTATTATTTCCCATTATAATTACAAATCAGTTACTGATCCTGACCTGACTTCCCAGGAGAACTCCTCTGCTACAGACTTCAGCGAGGAACTCCATGAGGAAGCTCCTGAACATAGCTGAAATTCCTATCATCGTTCTGTCTCCGGAAAGTCCTGTGAGTTAACTCGGGCAAGGCGTTATGGAACCTGGAACACTACCTAACTTAATGCAAAAGTTTCTGAGGTTGATTTCATTAGGCTTTTTGGTTTAAAGAAACATAGACTGAATCAGGGTGACTCAAAAAAAGTGGGCTCATTAAAAGGTGACATTTCCGGTGAACTCAAAAGGCTTCCACAGCCTTGGCAACTCATGACAAGAGCCTAGGGTGATTACTGATGCCATAAACAAGAGTGTCAATTTGTTAAGTCAACAACAGGAGTCACTATGCACTTACTCCTCATGTAGGATCTCTGTCCTTAATGTGCTGTACATTGTGATTTAATGCTATAACTAGTACTCAAACAGTATTTTACACTTTGTGTTTCTGTGTGGGTGCAAACTGTTGAAATCTTTACTTAATATATACTAAACTGATCTTCTCTATATAAGGAGAATTGAAAATGAATCTTGATGTGAATGGAAGGGGAGAGGGAGCAGGAAAGGGGAGGGTTGCGGGTGGGAGAGAAGATATGGGGTGGGGGAAGCCATTGTAATCCATAAGCTGTACTTTGGAAATTTATATGCATTAAATAAAAGTTTAAAAAAAAGAAAACAATAAAAAGGTAACATTTCAGAAGAAGGAGTATCACCGGAATCCAGGAAGGCCTGGTGGGCAATGCGAGGATCAGATCCAAGCATGCAGGCAGGAAGATTTTCACTCTGTCCCTCAACATCAAGACTCAATAGGTTTCAGTGTTGTGCACCACATTGACGGGATGTGGACCCCTATTTCTGCCTCTCTGTATATTCCCTTCAGTGTTTGTTCTGACCGTTTATGGCATGTCTCTTCCTAAATGTTCAAATTTCCACAGGGAAAACCACAATAGGACTCAGCCCACCATCACTGGTGTTCAGGCAGAGCCTTTGCAACACGGCCATGTGGGCGCTGCTGGTGTCTACCAGATTCTCCTTCCGTCCGGTGCTCATGCCGTCCAGTTCACCTATGGTGAGGTGGTGCCTCTGAGGGGTTAGAAGCTGGCCACCTATGCCTCGGGCATCCAGGAGGGTAGTTCTCCTTGGAGGGAGTTGTGGGATGGCAGGAACCTGTAGGTTAACTCTGGGAGAGCCAGAGAAGTAACGCAAACATCTGTAGAACCCAGTGTAGATGGAGGGTTGGGCTCCATCAGAATACTCTGAGATCCTCATAAAAATACAGAACACTGGGTCTCACTCCAGACTCCTCAACCAGCATCTCAAGAGTGAGGATGAGATACACAAGGGGTCTTCAAACATTCCTGGAAAACGTACATTATGAAAAAGCATACATAGGTTTCAAATATTTTGTACAAAATAAAATTATCTTTTAATCCCATTTCCATGAACGTTTGAAGGGCTCTTGTATGTGTGCTCATTCCTTTTTTTTTTTTTAAGGAAACTACTTTACCTCAGCACTTCCACTTTACAAGTGTTTTTACCCACACTTCCACTAGAACATATCAGCATTCTTCTGCAAATTCATTCAGCGAACCAAGAAGCCTTCTTAACCTTTATTCTGACTTCCCATTTTTCACAAGGCTCTGCACCCTCACAAGTTCAAAGCTGCATTCACTTGGGGAGATTTGGACATATGTGTATACACATAGACACACACACACACACACACACACAAGCACTTCCAAAAGTTCATGGAAAACGGAAGTAAAAGATCAGTTTATTTTATTGTAAAACAAAGTTTTGAAATCCACACATAGCTTTTTCATAATACACATTTTTCATGAAGCTTTGAAACACTCCTGTACGTCCTAATAATTAATATCACTAAAATAAATACACACATACTTTCTGGGTATTATTATCTTTATTACAAAACAAATATTCTATATTGAGGTAACATTTCAAATAGTAATTGGCAAAAATCAATTGAATATTATGTACAGAATTTTTCTAGGTGCAACACACACGAAGATCTCAGGGTACAGGTTTTCTAGCATTGCACATAAACTGATTTTAGGAAAAGGAAAGCTGAAAGTTCTCTATTTGAACAGGGATTTCATTCCCAAACGCTCCTCTACCCAATGCTCCATATCAATGGTCAGTGAAGTAAAGTTCATGAGAGTTCTACAAAAATCACTGAATAGCAGAAATAACTTTTTAAAAATTGTTCCTCCAAAACACCTCACCATGATATAATTTGAAAGTACTTTCGCAAACTAAAAACCTAATCATATAGAATTAACTATTGCTTATCTCAAGGATAAATAGAGTTCTCCTGTCTTCCATAAGGAAATTTTATGCAACTGTCCAGTTCCAGTGTCTATTCTGCTGTGAAACCCACCCGAATTTCCCAGGCCAAAGTTGATCACCTTCTTCTTCCCTCCTATGTATCAGGTCTGTGCCTCAGTTATCGCATTCACCACACTGGATTGCAACAAGGCTTCCCTCACATGTGTCCCCCCTTAACGCCTCACTTTAGGTATTTCCCAGTAAGCCCCTCAGAAGCAAGGAGTGTGGCTTCAGCTTCTCTACGTCCCCAGCACCCAGCACAGGTCACAATATGAGGCTACTTCAAAAAGTGTGCGAACAATGGAATTCAAAGTTAAGTTTATTTGAGTGCAAAAGCATTTTGAAACCCATGCCCATAAGGGATCTTCAAAAAGTTCATGGAAACTGTATGATTAAAAAAAAAAAAAAACATGCTCAGATTTCAAGTATTTTTGCATCATAATGAACTTATCTCTGAATTCCATTATTTATAAACTTTTTGACGTACCCTGGTAAAAATCTCAGTAACTGTTCATCAGATTAATGAGTTATGAACTATTTCAGCTGTGAATTATAATGCACCTCTTTCCTTGCTTCCAGTCCTGTTGAGGGTGTTGTGGTGTCATTTTCCGCATTGTTTAAACTTCTACGGGATAGTGACACTCGTTACAAGTATCATGTCCAGCATTCCTTTCAAAAAGAAACGGTCTCTTCTGATTAAAACACCAATAAATTATAATTACAATGGTTTCCCTACTTGCAAGCCCCAAAGAGTCCTTTCTGTGAGAGCCACTCCTTGGGAAAGCTGAGGCTAGTAGCCGTCTTGGCAGTCATTGTCATCTTGGTCGCCAATGGGCTTGTTGTTGTAAGTGTCAACTGTCAGTTTTCTGCTTTCCATGTCCATGCCTCTGGCCTGGCCGTCTTCCTCACTGCTCGACATGCTCTCAGTAGAGTTGCTGTCTTCTTTGGATTTGCTGTTTTCCTGAGAGTCACTGCCAGCCCCTTCATCAGATTGGCTGTCCTGCTCCGACTGACTTTCCTCGCTCGGGCTCTCAGCAGACTCGCTCTGGGACTGCAGGCCCTCCTGGCTGGAACTGTTCTCCTCCTCAGTGGTCTCCGGGCTCTCCTCTGAGGATTTCAGGCTCTCGTTGGAGTCGCTGTCGGCTTGCTCCTCTCTGGATTGGCTTTCTGAGCTGGAGGGGACGCTCAGGTTGTCCTCTTGGCTGGAGTCGCTGTCCTCCTCTGTGCTGCTGGTGGTGGCGTCTGGATTATCGCCCCTGGACTCACTCAGCCCCTCTTCCTGAGACTCACTACTGCTTTCTTGAGACGGCAGGTCAGCCTCCTGACTGGACTCACTGCTGGGGTCTTGCTCATTGTTGCTGTCCTCCTGGGACTGACTCTCCCTGCTGTCTTCCCTGGATCGGCTGAGGCCAGCATCTCTGGAGTCGGGGCTTTCTGTGGAGTCCTCAACTTCCTCCTGTGTGTTGCTGTCCTCAAGCTCATGCCTGTCATCCTCCTGGGAAATGCGGGACTTCCAGAAAAACCTCCGACGGGGATACTCCACTGATCGGCTCTGCCCTGCATCTGGAGTGCTCGCTTGTCTGCTGTCCCCATTTGATTCTTTTGATCTGACTCCAGCACTGCTTATTCTGGCCTTGACTCTCTCGCTCATGATGCTGTCCGGATCATCACTCTGCATTCCTTCATCATCAAACTCAGAGCCATCGCCGTGACTGCTCTCCCCGTCACTGCCGCCTCCCACCCAGTGCTCCTCACTCTCGCTGTCTGGTCTGCTGTGGACCACGCCCTCATGGTCAAGATCCCTGCTGTCACTGGTGGTGTCCTGGGCACTGTCTTCCCTGGACTGTGTGTTGTCAGCAGAATCCTCCTCACTGCCTAGTTCAGAGTTTCCTCCTCCCTGTCTCTCCTTGGGCCCTGGGCCATTGTCTTCATCACCGAAGGTGTCATCTCCACTGTCATCTTCATCATCTTCTTTATCACTCTTGGAGAAGCCACCAGCTGTTCTATAAAGATATTGGCCATCATCAGAGATCAGGGCCTCCTCTGAGTCAGTGGTGTCTCTGGAGTCCTTACTGACCTGGAGTTTGGGATTAACAGATGTAGTCAGTATTCCAGGAGCTGACACGGAAGGAATCATCTAGTGTCTACATGGGCTCTCTTTGCTCCCTGTGTCCCTCCGCTAACCCAAGGTCAATTTCACTGCTCATTAACATCTCTGCCCAACCCTACACAGGAAAAAAAGAGGAGTCTAAACTCAAGCCATCCTGGTTTCTAAGGGAACAATTCACTCAATGTCACAAAAACGGTCTCAAAAGCTTTCTAGAAATTCATACATGAAACAACTCATAGCATATGATTCTCTAAAGAAAACCCTCAGAGAACTTTTTTTGTGAATCAAAGAGTTGATTTAAAATGTTTGGTTTAAAAGAGTTTTTAAGTGGCCAGCGTTGTGGCATAGGGGGTTAAGCTGCTTCCTGTGACACTGGCATACCATACAGGCACGGGTGTGAGACCCAGCTGCTCCACTTCTAATCCAGTTCCCTGCTAATGAACCTGGAAAAGCAACAGAAGATGGCCAAAGTGCTTGGGTTCCTGCATCGACGTGGGAGACCCGGATGAAGCTACAGGCTACTGGCTTTTGTCTGGCCCAACTCAGCCATTTTGGCCATTTGGGAAGTGAACCAGGGGATAGAAGAGCTGTCTCACTCTCTCTTTCTTTCTGTGTGTGTGTGTGTCTCTCTCTCTCTCTCTCTCTCTCTCTCTGGCTATGCCTTTCAAATAAATAAAAATAAATGAATCTTTAAAATAAATAAATAAAATTTTAAAAAGAGTTTTTAAAAATATTAACTAGGGGCCAGCTTTGTGGTGTGGTGGGTAAAGCCACTGCCTGTGGTGCTGGCATCCTATATGGGCTCTGGTTCAAGTCCTGGCTGTTCCACTTCTGATCCAGCTTCCTGCTAATGTGAATAGGAAAGCAGTGGAAGATGGTCCAAGTACTTGGGCCCCTGCACCCATGTAGGAGACTCAGAAGTTCTTGGTTCCCAACTTCAGCTGGGCCCAATCCTGGCTGTTGTGGCCATTTGAGGAGTGAACCAGCAATTAGATTTGTCTTTCCCTGTCTCTCTCTCTCTCTGTAACTCTGATTTTCAAATAAATAAATCTTTTTTTAAAAGATAAGATTAAAATCTTAGCTAAAATGAAGTAAAATACTATAGTAAAGTATACAAGGGTCTTCAGACAGTTCATAGAAAAATGCACATTATGAAAAAACTATGTATAGATTTCAAAATGTCTTATATCAAAATAATCTTATCATTTAATCCCATTTTCCCACAAACTTTTTGAGGCACCCTGGTATACCTCATGCAAATCATGATTATACTCCGTTAACATTGGCAGAGAGGAGCCTGTCAAAGGTTCAGTTAGCAGTAGGAAACCAGTCTGAGCACCAAGGCAGCTTAGTTCTAGGTGTGATTCAGAGAGATTAAATTCCTGCATCAAACAGCTGTGTGGTCTGCATTCATGAGGAAGGGTAAGGAGTCTTTATACATCATGCTCAGGAGAAACGAACTCTCTGCACCAATAGCCTACAACAGAGCATTGTCGCCAATTTTGTTTTGATTTTTCTGCAAATCAGTGTTCTGCTGATCAGTGTTCTGAGTTTGCATCTGGGAGTACCCCTGTTGGCATCTCTTCCCAGTAATACACTGCTGTGATAGAACTGAGCATGGGCTGAGCACCACGTTAAGCACACAAGTCCTTCTCAAACAGAAATGGTTGCCCATCCTTAAGAGTTTAAAGAACTCTGAGGCAACAAATCACTAAGTCCCCAGCAAATAGCATTCCCCCAGTCCTATGCTTTTAAATTTCTAGAATGTTCCTCAGATGAACTTGTAGTAAATCAGAATCGTGTGCCTACTCTTCCAACTCTGGCTGAGAATGGAATGCAATGTGGGGTGAAGTTTCAGGGACAAACCTGGTCCTGGAATCTCAAGAGCCACCCACAGGATAGAGTTTGGTCCCAAAGGTAGGACAGGAAAGAAAGTAATAACATTTCATCTTAGTGAAAGTGTTTTAAAGCCAAAAATCAGTATTTTAACAAAAACACATTAAGTCTGCCTTTCTCACACTCAGGACCGATAGAGAAGACTATTCTAAAGAGATTATCATGAAAGCAGCTCTTTTCCTTAAAATTTCCTCAGGGCTCTCCTGTCCCCTCCTTTAACAGGATTTGTGACACGGAGCAGGTCTCCAGGCCCAGTAGGCACCTCATGTTAGCCAGGATATTTTTCCTTGACTGATCAAAACTATTCCAATTGTAAAAGACCATTTCAGTGTGTGAGTGTGCGTGTGTGTGTGTGCCTGCATACTTTAACTAGGAAGGACATTTAGGGTGACAGTGTTTATATTCTGGCCTCAGATGATAAAAATGGAATGAACAGCATGTCCAAATCTGAATTCTCCTCACTCATTTTTCCCTTCCTATTTCTTGGAACTATTTAGCCAGCATAACCAATGGTTAGAAAATATTATATTTAGAACTGTTGCCAGGTAATTTAATCTAACATCATTTCCTCCCATTCCTAAGGAGCCTGAAAAGAAAGACTCATTTAATTACCTGTTCCTCTGAGCTAACTTTACTTTCTTCTGATGACACACTGTCCTGAAAAGAAAAAAAAATGAGGTTTATTTTTCCTTTTAGTATTTCCTCAGGAAAGAACACACTATGGTACATATCCATTGCTTGTGGTTTGGATTTACTACTTTGAAAATGACAAAAGCTGATGAAAGGCGTGTTGAAGTTACTTCATGAGATAATTATGACAGAAATAAATGAGATAGTTACCAGGGGTGGTGTTGGTGGTGGAGCCAAGGGATCCTGAAAAAAAGGAAATGAAACAAGTTACTCCTACACAGATGAGTTAGGTCATTGACAATATTGAGAATAACTAGGGTTTTTTTTTTTTTTTTTAGTTTCTTGGTATATATTTTACATCTCCATGAGTAATGAAATTTTGTGGAAAGATAGCTGACAAATGAAGTCAAAATGACTAATGCAAAGATCTTGGGATATAAAATATCTGGAATAGTTTTATATTTCTGATATTTCAATTACCAAAAAAAGGACTTTTAGGGGCTGGCACTGTGGTGTAGTGAGTAAAGCCGCCACCTGAAGTGCCAGCATCCCACTGGGCACCTGTTCTAGTCCCAGCTGCTCCACTTCCAATCCAGCTCTCTGGCCTGAGAAAAATGGAAGATGGCCCAAATCCTTGAGTCCCTGCACCCATGTGGGAGACCCAGAAGGAGCTCCTGGCTCCCGGCTTTAGATTGGCACAGCTCTGTCCATTGCAACCATCTGGGGAGTGAACCAGCAGTGGAAGACTTTCTCTCTTTCTCTCTCTCTCTCTCTCTCTCTCTGCCTCCAGCTCTCTGTAACTTTGCCTTTCAAATAAATAAATAAATGTGTTTTTTTAAAAAAAGGAATTTATTTGCAATTGGCTGTTCATTCAACCTAGAGAAAATGTAAAATAGGAAAATTAGTATTGGAACTTTGAAACAAGAGTTAAGTTTCAGTTAACTCATTGGTTTGGGTTTTAGACTGAAAGCCAACTATCTTGGTGTTAATCCTAAAAATCATGCCTCATATCTCCAGGGCCAGTGCATCAGGTTAAGCCATTGCCTGCAACTCAGCATCCCATATCAGAGCATCAGTCCCAGCTACTCCACTTCTGATCTAGCTCCCTGATAATGTTCCTAGGAAAGCAGCAGAAAACAGCCCCAAGTGTTTGGGCCGCTTCCATACATGTAGGAGACCCAAATGGAGTTTCTGGCTCCTAGCTTTGGCCTGGCCCACCCTGGCTGTTACAGCCATTTGTGAAGTGAACCAGCAGATAGAAGATCTCTCTTTCATCTCTCCCTATCTCTCTGTAACTTGCCTTTCAAATAAATAAATCTGTAAAATACAATAAAATAAAAAATAAATAAAAATCATATCTTCAAGGAAACCCCTAAGTCTTCAATGAAATGGGGTATTATTTATGCCATGTGAATGTGAATGCAATTTGCTTCAGCTGTCTGATCTTTAGTTTCTTATTCATAAGCTAAGAAAATCAGCACCCAAAGTTGCTGTGAGGATGATATCAGATAATGCCTCTGGGAACATTTGGAGGACTATTTTGTGTGATATACACTAAAGAAGAGTTCCATTCTGTAAACATCCACCTTGTAAAAGTCAGTAGTAGACAAAATTGAGTTGAGAAAGCCATTAAAGCTTTCTGGAGTCATCTATGAGCACTGACACTAAAAACAAACATTGAATCTGAAATTTAACTACTATGGTTATAGTTCTAATTTATTTCACTTTCCCTAGACTCATAAATACTCTAGGAATTACCTGAGCAACTCAGGGTTCCTCTCACCTCCCCTCTTCTCCTCCTCCCCCTTGAGCATTGCAAGGTCCTGTGTGGAGCACCCAAGGTACAAGGGAGCGCAGGGAGGAGCTGCTGCTGGCAAGTCCTCAACATGCCTCAGCAGCGGTAGGCTGGAGATATTTTCTCAGAGCGAGGATCTGTAATCATATATGTCTTTGCCCTGTGATATTGCAGGCAGGCGTCATCGCATACTTGACTCCAGTCAGTTATCATGCAGAATTAGCAGGTGGCAGGGAGCAAGGCATTGGTGCTTTCCTCAGGCCACATCTAGACTTGAGAACAGGTCATGTTTGTGGGTCTCTGGTTGAATGAGAGGAGGATCTACAGTGGCGTCTCTTAAATTAACTAGACTGTGGATTTTTCTGATAGAAGTTCTTGAGAAACCCTGCAGTGTCTATTTCAACCTCAGGCAGAGCAGGAGCCCCCTCAGGCCTCTGAAATTATCTGGCCACCACCAAAAGCACTGGCCTCAAGCTCCAACACATGCAAAATGCAGTGGGAAACAAAGCAGTGAACAGGATTCTCTGACTTAGTGGAAGATTTAAGCTCATACATCTAGTGGCAGTCTTGAGAACTGACTGACTTCCTACGCCTGGCTCCCTGAGAGGGACATACACACTGACTAAGAATATGGATCCTGGAGTCCAAGCAACATAAATTCAAAGTCTGGCTCTAAAATTTTTAACTATATATCCTAGACAGACCA